ATTGAGTTAAAATTTAGATTGACCCTGAGTAATGGTTGAGATATATGACTGTATTTGAGGTTTTTTAGTCATCTTAGATTAACAAGGGTAAGGAATAGATGGGAATAAAAAAGAGGTTGTAATAGAGCTACCAGCCATAGATTCTGCTTTCCAGTGAAGATGAACATCCTACGGCTCCCTGCCTGGCCATGGCTCCCTTCCTGCTCTGTTCAGCACAGTGGAGACTGGACAATCTGCCAGGTGCAGAACTTGTCCCTGCATGCCTGGTAAACTAGGAGCCCCACCATGGATACCTCTCTAGAGGATGAATTTTCTCATACCCTGCAAAAAGGAAAATCATGGAGGTAAGAGTCAGGCTTTTAAAAGGACAAAAATCATATCCCTCTCCGAGGTCAGCCTGGTGAGGTGAATGTGTATGTGCCATGTTAGAAGGGTTTCTGCTTGGAAATGTGCCATTTCCTGCCTTGCTGGGTATCACTAGAATTAATGCCATGGGCTTCTGCTTAGTTTATACCAGGAGTTAGGTTCCTACCTTACAAAAATATAGCCCAGGGTAAAATAAAAAAAAACAGACTGAAGCATCACCTAAAAAAAAAAAATTTGTGTGCACATGGTGCATGAATGATTTACTTTTAGTTGCAACCCCTCCACATGTGCTAATAATTCCAGTTTCTCTGAGCTTTAAGTTCATAAAAGTATAGATTGTCTACAAAAGTTTCTGAGAATTGTGAATGTGCTTGATTTTTTTATTATTTTACTTTTTTCTAAGTTCATTTTTTTGAACACTCAAGTTTTTAGCTTTCTTCTTTAATAATTTTATTAACAATTGCATAGAGGTCTAAAATTATTTTCGTTACTAATTTAAAAAGACATTGTCTTTATTTTATTTCTTTAATAATGCACGGGACTTTCAGCAACCTAATTTGGAACTAGATTATCTTTAAAATTCCCTTGCAGCCCAAACCACTTCATGATTGTATGATTCTAATCCTAGGAAAAGAAAGTCTTCAGCATCTGTGGGGTGTATCTAGGTAGTGAGCAGTGCACCTAAGGTGCTGCCTACTGTGGCGTTTGCTGTCATTGCTGAATACTTGTGACTCTTGAAGGAAAGTGATGGGGTGAGGGAGGAGAGTGAGGGTCCCTTGAATCACGTAGATGAAATGAGTGAATCAGTAACTCGTTGAGTACAGAAGCACTGGGCAGCTTTTGTTTCACCAGCCTGTTTTGTGTCTCTCTGCAGTATAGGTGCCCTGCTGGTACCCCTGCTGTGTATACGTGCCCTGGCTGCACAGGCTCACTCTGGACAGGAGATACAGGCATGCTCCCAGAAAAGTGCAATTCCCAAGCAGCTCTGAATCCTTTGTGTTTTGTTATGATGTCAGTAGCACCTCACACCACTCCACTCCAAAACATGCCTGACGTGACAAGAAGCTATTAAGTTCTAAACAGCTGTCCTATGGTTGATGTGAGTCGTCCTGAAGCAAGATGTCTGTTGCCTGGAGCAGGCACACAGAGTTAAAAAATTGGCCAGGAGACTGTTATAATATGGTATGTGTGCCTGTGTCGGTGAAACTGGGGAGTATGTAGTGATATGTCTCAGAATCCTCTTGCAAAATGTAGTGTGAATGTGGCTATTGTGCTCCAAAGAAGGCTGGGACTTCTCCAACATGGATGTGACAGGGACATGCCTTCCAGCAAAGACATTGACATTAATTTAACAGAGTCAAAAAATAATGTAGGCAAAGCAGAAATATCTTTGGAGTTCTATGCCTAAACTCCAACACATCAGGTCACAAAATCAGTTTCTGGCTGTCCTAACTTTCAAATGTTTCCCTTACACATTTGACCAGTGATAGAATTATATTCTCTTTTGAAGTGAGCCAAGTATGTATCCAAGCACGCAAAATTTGTGAAGACAGAGAGTAATTAAGAAAAACATTCTGAGCTGATGGTCCAGAGATTAAATTTGACCCAAGAGAAAAAAGAGAATGCAAAATACTGAATTTCACTCTGTAGTCTAAGGTCTACCTTCATTTTATTAAAAACATCCTGAACACCCAAGCCACCATCCTGAAATGTGGAAGATTGGGACTCAAACCGTCTTCGGCAGTGAAATATTTAGATTCTGGCTTTTCTATGTTCTTGACCAGTGCTCTGAAAGAGATTTAGGGTGCAAAATATTTGTATTACCAAAGTGCAAAAGGAGGCCCTTCCTATTAAGGGTTTTTTAAGAGGTTGTTTTTTGTTTTTTTTTTCTGAAGATGGAGGGAACATTGGTAGAAACAGAACTGTATTTTTTGCTATAATCTGTTCTTCAGGGATTAAGTAATGAAAGCATCAAACTAAAGACAAATGTGGATTAAAATATAGGTGAGGTATAATAAGTAGCAAGGACTAAAAGACATCTGTTAGAAAGAAATTATTTTCAAAATTATGATCAAGAATTAGAGTTCCATTTGAGCAGGTAGCCTAAGAGATATTGTCCCTGTAAATTTCAAATGCATTAATATTTCTACATAACTGATAGTTTTCAAAAAATATGGCATGGATCAATTATGGTGCCCAGCTTTTAGTAAGAATCTTAATGAGGGTTCCAAAACCTGATGTAATATAAACAGTGGATGAATACAGTAATTCCAGGATACAAATTATGCAGGGACAGTAAAGTAGCTAGTTTAGACATGATTTTAAAAAAAGGTTCAAATGAAGCAAATAACAATAGGGTTGTTGCCTGTTGAACTTAATAACAGCTTTAATCCGCACAGAAACTGCCTTGACTATTCTGTTCCTGTATAGAAAGAGTACATTGTTATAGCTGTACTATGATCAGCTTTATTCAGAATGTGACAAAGGTGCACTAAGAAATACCAGAAACAGTAAGAGAATAAAGTTTCATAAGGTGAATCACACCATTAATTTCCGTGGAAACTGGAGGTAAATGATATACTAAGGAGAGTCAAAATGGCATTTGCTACAGAGTAAAACATCCTTGTACTGCTCACTCCTGAATATTGTCTGCAGGAGCACCATCTTACAAAAGGGTATAGTAAAAATTAAGAGGTATATTGTAGAAAATATAGGGGCGGTATGCTGGAAAACAATACAGCTCTGACTGTTTTGGCAAAGGTGAGATGAAAATGGATATTCTGTATTTTTTCAAGCAACAAGGGGGAACCCAGCTGAACTATTTGGAAGCAGTTTTAATATCCAAACAAAGCAAATAAACACAGTTTAATTGTATGACTCATTGCTCCAAGAAGTTATGAAAACTGAAAGGATAAATAGATACATTTAAGAAAGTTCCAGAAGTGCCTATTAAAACCAGTGATGTGCACGTGGCTTTTGGTTCAGTAAATCCATAACATCCAGGCCATTGAAACTTGTCAGCATGCATGTTAAAATAATCCATGGAAGTAGGATATTTAACTTCTTTCTTATTTCTTTTAAGCATCTGTTGCTGATCCTCTTAGGCACAGGAGAGTGGACTGGGCATATTTTTGACCTCAAGTATTTTTGTGCATAGATGTGTAACATCCCACTCCTGTGAGTACGCAGGATTCATTGATGCCAATGGTTAAAGTTTTTCTGGACCTATTTGGTAATGAGCAGAGGGCTTTGGGGGTCTCAATCCACCTCTGCTGGATTGACCCTTCCTTGATAGCTCCTGACTCCTTCTTGTTATCACTGTGCTTTATGTGGTCACCATGGACCTCAAGAGGGAAGTGGGCCCCAGAAAGGTGCTGCCCTACCTCCATAGGACCCTGATTTCCAGCACCACCTGTTCTAACTTGCCTGTTTGAGTGGCCATCAGTGTTTGAGGCATAGCAATGCATTAACTCCTTAATGTCTAAGCTTCTATAAGATGACAAAATAAAATTGCTGTTTTCTAACCAAAGCATTTAAATTACATTTTGTTCAGTATCATGATTGATGCTGCTCATCTAAAAAATAAAGTCTTGGAAAATTGGCAAACTGGACTCACATGAAGTATCTAAAATACAGGTACAGTAGATACATTGGCAGAGCAGGCATTGTATTTACGTGTAAAGCCCGTTCCAAGTGGATGCTGTTAGTTCTATATTCCCCACTGTAACTGATGTAAAGGGTTTTATAAGAGCACTGAGTACTTGGGTCCTGGCACTGTCCTACTGAAAGATATCTCTCACTGGTGGACAAGCCCTCTCTGTGGAGGAAAACTCCCTATTCTCCTTAGGCATATCACATGTAGCCTCCATATGAATCAGAGAGCTTGTTTTTGAAATAGTTGTTCCTTACAAAGGGAAGTGGGACTATGTGAAACGTAGCACCCAGTGAGGCATTCCTGGTCATTCTGCTATGCTAACAGGTACTGAGGTATTGTAACTCACTCCTGCCCTGCTTTCACAGTGGGTGGTGTTGAGCTTTGAAAAAACCATGCATATTTCTCAAAGCTGGAGATAGGCTGTAGAACAAGATGCTTCTATTGATACAATTAGATAATAGTGGAAAAAATTTTCAAGGCTCAGATTTCTAGGGTGAAAGAATCTGGTATTCCTGCTGATGAAAAGAAGAAACAAGTCTTCTAAGACCACCCACCTCAGCAAAGCTGGTTTTCTTTTCATTGAAAGCACTAGAAAACCATCAAAATAAGAATGCACGAACTTGTCTGTTATATCACTCTAGAAACAAAATTCCCATTTATATATGGAATTTGCAGAAAAGAAATCTGTTGAAACTGATCTAATGCTGATGTGATGAAATCCAGAAGGAAGAGGCTTTGACCAATTGTCAGAAATTACTGTTTCCTATTTTTCAGTTTGGAACATACGAAATGAGTTGAGCATGCTTTATATTTCCCAGAACTAGCAATTTTCTGACTTTGGAAAGTTTTAGAGGGAGGAGCTCAGAGGTGCTGTGGGAGGGACTAAAATTCATATTAAAGTTTTGGCATGAGAGGGAGAATTGTCAGAGTAGAAGGTTTCTTCTGAGGTTTTGCTTTTTGTATTTTTTTTAAATTTAGGATGATAAGTATTTATGTTCAGATTCTTCTAATAATTCTCTTTTGGAATGCTGATTGTCAGATTATTCCCAGGATTGAAGAATGTGGACTTTCATGTTCTCAGGTAATCTCTTACTTGTTCTAATTTGCTGTCTATTATTTTAGTAGTTATATGCTGCCAAAATAATTGTAGGAAAATCAAGAAAGCAAAAAGGGAAAAATATTCCAGCTGTCCTGAACATTCCCTTTATATTCCTGTCATTCTGAATTAAGTATCCAAAGTGGCAAAAATTACTCTGAAAGGGGGTAGGAAATTGCACCTTTACACTGTTTGCAACTGCTGCTGTTAGTTTTAAATCTGTCTTTTGTATTTGAAAAAAATGATTTTGTTCATATTAATTACTTTTCCACAGAGCAGCAGTGGTGCCAGAGATGTGAGGGAGGAATGAGAGGTTTCAGAAATTGCTAATTATGTTAGGAATATATGAAACACTGACTTTGCTGTGAATAAATGAATTAAGCATGAGAAAGAGTAAAACATGTTTTTCATTTCATTACTGAATGTAACTTCAATATTAAACTTAATGACTTCTGTATGTGCATGAAAGGAGAGTGAACCATACCATCTCTTTAATAGCTTTGGATTTTGTATGATTCCAAATATCCCCGCAAAGGGGCAGTATGGAGATACTCTGCTCTTGGCATTCTGAATTTTTAAGCATAGATAGAATACAATGAAAGATACATTTTTAAAAAAAAAGGTTTAAATAATAGGCAATCTGACTTTCTGTCTTAGTGGAGGAGGATAACTGTACTGGCTACAGAGAAGTGAACTTGATAGCATGAAAGAATTTGTCTCTCTGTATAAACTTCTGCTTGAAGATGTCAGTATTTAGGACAAGCAGTGAGACATTCTAAAGATTGTTTAGATGTGGTAGTACTACCCAGAAATTAAGTTAGTGCATGCTAAAGCAAATTATTCTATATTTAATATGTGTATCCTAGAAAAACAGTAGGAATAAAGATGCTTATAAATACTAGATTGAGCAAAAAAAGTCCTCTCTAAATATTCATGCAGTATAGTTAATGTTCCTGTATTCAAGTTCTGTAGTCTGTGTGTACTTAGATGTTTCCAGAATAATAAAATATAGCCATAAGAGATTAATCTCTAGATGTACACGAATACTTTTCAGGAATTTTTATGTACTTATGTTCATGAATGCAAATACACATGTATTTTAAATAATTTATGCTCCTTTGTCTGATGCAATGAAAGCTTAAAATAGGAATGAGTTACCATTCTAATTTATCCCTTAAAAGAGTATAGGACTATCAGACAGCATATAAAAATCAATATCAACCTTTTTTGATGGGTTTCAGTCTAGGGGATAGGATTCACCTCTGGGGACCTTAAAGGGTATCTTTCTCTGTCAAACCATAGGTATGTATATTACAAAGATTGATTCACTAATTGTCTATAGACACAACCCTGAGGTTTGGCAGACTGGATCCCTTTCTTTACATTCAAGAGTGTGTCTTACACCTTTTCCAATACTGAATATTGATGAACTGAGAAAGACGTGTTTTATTTTTCTTATTTACAGGGGAAATACACTGTTTATATATATAACAGAATCAATTAATCAATCATTTGTGATATTAGGGACAGGATTCAGTTCCTGTTCTGTATGTGATGATTTTGCTACTTGTATTCAGTAGAATCTTGAATGCATTAATGACTTTTTAAGACAAAAATTTTTCTCAGAGGGACCAATAATGCTCTCAACAGGCTAAATTACTGCCAGCATAGCATTTTCAATCTAGTGCAATGCACTATAGCTACATGAACTTTAGAATCTCATGACTAGCTTGTTAGTGGAAACTTCTTCATTTTCCTTTGAAAGTAACTTCAATTTCTCTGCACAACTGACCGTGATTTGTGGGCTCAATCCAGCTCATGAATTACTGTAAAAGGGAGCAGTCAATCTTTCCCGTGATGTGTAACTTAGTGTACTTCATAGGGGCTCTAGTCAGGGGTTAGAGTTTGCCTTTGTCTGTGTGAAATATGTGTCTGCTCCCTTCTGCTATAGCATCTCAGATGACAAAGTAGAGAATCAACTACTTGTTTCTAGCAATTTCCTTAATGTGATAATGAGATATTGTAGTTTTAAAACTGTCAGCAATTTCTGCAGCTGCTGTTGTTACAAGTGAATATTATAGAATTTTTTTTCTTATGAAGTTTTCCCAGAAGTTTGTACAGCAAATTTCTCTTTTGCATTCAAACTTGAGGCTGTGTGGTTCTTCAGAAGACAGTAAGGATATGAAAAGCAATTAATTTGAATTTTTCTGCATTTTTCAAACTATGGGTATTGTCAGTTTTTTAGCAGGTTTAATAACTGGAACTGTTGAGTTTGACCATAGACTAGAATTTAGTGTGGCTGTGTCCACTAGATACTTGTGAGCAGTTCTGACATCAATGGGTACTCCTTATCAGAGTAAAGCTCTGGTTGTACTTAGGAGGGAAATAGTGACACAACTATTTGGAGGCATATGACATGCAAAACATCTGCATTGAACTTTTATCACAACTTCATGAATCATTCTTAGTTTACCATAGGTATTCAGCAAGATATCCTCGCATTACCTTGTGTAAGGCAATATGCAGGTTTCATTCCTGCAACATAAACTGTGCATCTGTTCAGTACAGGAAAGAAACAAAAAGAGAACATTGGATGTTTATCTCAGTATTATGTGACATTTTAAACAGCATGAAAAATATACAGTTATGTGTTGAATGATGGCAAATGAACAACTAAGATTTTATTACATGTTATAATTTATTTCTCCTTTATTTTGATAACTTGGCTTTAGAGCTCACTTGATATTCTGGTATTCAAAGATTAAATGCTATGGACATGATCTCCATGCCCCACCCAATAGGAAACACAGTTATCGAGCAAGTTTCCCCATAAAGGCATAGGGGAATCCCAGCCTGCAATTGAAACTGGGTTTGTGCCCTACTCATTTTACAATCCACATTGTTTGCAGGCTGTACACAAAGAAATAGGCTTATGCCAAATTGGATTCAACAGCTGGTAAAGATCAAGAGCACTACATTTAAAAAACACTCCCCAGAATACTATGAAATATTATTTGTATTGTCTGCCATTTAATGGAGTAATGTTTCCAAAGTCTATGAATAAAGGAGGAAACACTAACTGAATGTGGGATTTCCCTCTAATTGTAAAGATTATTGGCAGCAAATCCTTGATATAACTGCTGCTTGTTCCTGCTATTCATAATCAAAATATGTGGTGTTTCTTTACTGGATATTTATACCACGGATCAGTCCATTTTTGCTGAATACTGCACACTGCAGAACCAGTGATATAGTATGGCCCTTAGTCCATAAAGTCAGCTGACATAAATTGGAATTCTTTGTTCATTATTAAGCAGTTAATATTTTGAAAGTGACCCCAAGCCTCTGGAAACAGACATGATAATATAAATCTCTAAAATCTGACTGAAAACATAATTTTCGACATGGGAAATGTCTAAAGAGACTGATCAGAGACCTGACTTCCTCAGGGTGAGTGAGAGAGATACAGCATGAAATCCCCTCAGAGAAATACAATTCAACACAGACTGTTTTGGGTATGCATTGATATATCTGATGACTGAAAGAGATGCATAAAAATATAAAACATATCCTGTACTAATATTTGCTGAGGTGCAGTACAATCCATGAGAGCATGCCCTAGACAGAAAGCCTGGGGTCTACTTCTCTGCCTGTCATCCAGTCACTTGTATGGCCCTCTTCAAATAATTTAATTTCTCCGGTTTTCACAAGTACGAAACAGTTCTGACCTTCCTGTGTGGTGTGTTTTAATTATATGTTTTCATTAACTGCTTTGAATATTATGAGTTAAGTACTCATAAGATAAACAGTTAAGGGACTCAATCGTATTGAGTCATTGTATTAGAGTGATATTAACCCATTTCCTTGGATATCCTTGCTTGTCTTCTCTGCTGGTACTTAGAAGAGCTGAAATTTAACATGTTTGGGTGGCTTATCACTTGGACTGTGTTTCATATTTGCTCTTTGGGTCAAAAATAGCTTGGCAATGATATAAAACAGCTTCCTGTTGTGTCCTATGGTTGGGTGCTGTCACATTTCCTCTCCCCCTGAGAAGGAAACAGCCAGTGACAGGTACAAACAGGGACTTACTGCAGTGTTCCTGTGTTCCAGTATGTACCACCAGCTCCTATAAGAGAGGTGGAGATGGAGAAAGCTCTGCAATTCAGAACTTGCAAAAAATGGTAGCTTTTGGGCTTTTTCCCTTCTGTCTTCCTCAGGAACTCCAGAAAAAGGTTTCAATGTCTGGAAAGAGACTAGCCACTGGAATAGCAGGCACAGAATACAAGCAGTCATGAAAGTTGGGGGCACAGACTTAACAGGCGTTGGAGCTGGACCTGACAGAGTGTCTTGGAACTGAAACAAGGCAGTGCTAGAAGCTTCACCACGAGACATCAGCATCAGTTATGTGCAATCAGTACCCATAGCAAGAGACACATATTTAATAAACCCAAAAAGGGATATATAAGCAAGCTCAGCAGAAGATGGGAGCAGCTGGCCTTTATTATTGCCAGTGAATTTTAGCTTACAAATCTCTCTCAGCCCTAATCTTAGGGCTTAATCCTTCATCTCCCTTTGGACCCAAACTAAGTAGTGGGATTTGAGACTTGGAAGTAGGTGCTTTCCACAGCCATCTGACAGCTTTGCAGTTGGAAAACGACTTGTAATTTGATCATATCTGGGTGTGACAGGTTTTCTAGGAGTGGTAATTACTTTAATGAGACCACGTGGTGTGACCTAGCTGGAATTCTTGCAGTAGGGTCTAGGAATAGTTTAATTTATACTTTTGAGGAGGTGGCAGTTCTGTACCTGTTACATTGTCATGTCTGTTTATACTACTCCATTCTTCCTTCCCTGCCAGAATGCCTGTGCATAGGAGAGAACCAGGGATGATCAAAAATGAGAAGGACCAAAAGAGGTCTGAAAGACTTCTTTCTAAAGATAGGTTTGGATTCTCTCCTGGCTTTCTGGCTCAGCATTGAAATGCT